ATATAATATTAATATTATATTAATATAATATTAATATTGTACTAGTATAGTACTAATATAGTACTAATATAATATTATGTAGCATAATATATTATCCACTGGTGGGTGCATGAGCCTCCCAACTCATATGCCGGACGATCGATTGACTGTGGCGCATATTCGAAACCATCAAGCGGTGCACGACTGCTTCTTACACAAATTGGGTTTTGAAAATGGGGGACCATTCAATCCATTGGTTGTAGAACAAGCACTATTTTTCCAGAATGTTCCAATAAAGAAATTGGTGGTATACCCTATTTTCAGACACAGGTTCCAGCCTGTGAAGCCTCCTCATTCTTCGTTGCAGAAACCTTGATGGCCTTCGCGCGATTCGCATAGCGCAATGTTGACATTGTCTCCTGACACCGGATCAAGAGTCTCAGGCTCGCTTCTCAGACTCCCCAAAGCATCCAAAGGCTAACTGTGGTTTGCCATAGTTTGCCTTGAAATTTGCACCATGCCCCATGGTTGATCATCATTTCTCCCTATTTTTAGTTGCGACTTTTAAACAGTTCCGTCCTCGTAGTTGCAAGCTGCAGGGGAGAGAGTTGCCAACATCGTGCATAAAGAGTTGCCGCCCAGGGATTCTTGCCTGTGCTGCGGTCAGCAACACTCGACACTGCCCGACCTATTTTGATGGCCGGGTCCCAAGTGACCTCTCAATCTACAGTACCGCTGTGATGATCTGTCCAGGACCAGAAACCTGGCAGAGCCTCAAATCCCAATCCCAGTGCAAGGTGCAAGACTCGCGTCAGCTTGGAGTTGCGATATGGAATGAAGACCTTCTTCCCGTTCGCTGTCCTTTGCGGTGTGCAAAGAGAATAGTGGATAAATGTGGATAAATTGGATCAGATCTGCTAAAGCCAAGCATCTCCACTAGTGCATTGATCACATTCCCAAGAGCACCTAAGTTGCAGCCAAGTAGTTGCTACGACTACCGAACAACCTTTTTCCGTTCGGCAAAGCAGTGCTAACCCACACGTTTCAACTGTACAAACTGTAACTTTTCCAACTGTTTGCCATGGTTTTTCCGTTGAAGGCCTCATGTATACCCTCCAACAATATTATGTACCTGTCAATGGAAATCACCTACGCATTCATGACATTATCATGCAAAATGTTCATGGTCCATTGTCCATTGCCAGAATTTCTCCGCTGCACAGAAGATGGTAAATTTTCTCGCCCAATAGACTAGACATCACACAATTGGTCTCAAATTCTCCGCATAGCCGCATAGCTACTGATTCCTCGGGTTATGCAACTGGCTATCCTTGTTTGCCAGACTTTCGTTCAGTGGCCTAAATGTTCCTAGGATTGAATGTAAATGGTTAACGTCTTACCAAAATTTCTCCCTAAGGTTCTTTTGTGATGGTTTATGTAATGGTTTATGTAATGGTTTATGTAATGGTTTATGTAATGGTTAATCGTGAGTCCCCCCAGTGAAAATGTTTCTGGTTTTTGTTGGGTTAACGTTCATAATTGATGAACAAAACTTAGTTCCAGGTTTTCTTTGGGAAACTGCACAAAGCACTTTGTAGCATAAAAACATGTAAAAACACAATTCAAAACTGCTCTTGACTTGTGTGCAGTAATATCGCTGAAAAATATCATTAAGACATCATGAATTAGTTTCCAGGCTTCCCCAAAGAACAACTGCTGCGAAAACATGATTCAACATGATTCAACACTGTTAAAATTGGAGTCCGGAAACTTTTATACCATGGCTCCCGTTACATCACATGTTTGATGCTTAATATCCACCATGGCTCCCGTAAATCACCAACAAAAATCTTGGCGATAGGTCCCAGAAGATATCCCAATAGACACCCCTTGAGTGCCCATTTGTTGAATATGATCGATCCCTCTTAACCGATATAATTGATATAATTCACAGAAGATGTCCTAAACGGTGAATCAGATATCTCAAAATGGTGCGCAAAATATCCTGAGACTGGGAAAAAAAAACAACAACAACAAAATTGGACTGTGAAAATTAGATAATATCTACAATCTACCCATCAGAGAGTTCCCAACAGATTGCCCCTTAAATGGTAAATAAGATATACACATCAAGAAAAATCATAAGATATTCCCATCTTGCTGAAAAGAAAACATTCAAAACATATCCACGAGATATTATATCCATAAGATATACTCATAAAATATAAAGAGTCACCATTTTAGATAGCTAAATATCATCAGTTTATCATCGAACTAAATGGGCCATGGCTTCCAGTTCGCAAACTGTAAGATCACCAGAGGTTATAACCCCATTAGATTCCGTCCTCCATCCCCAATATATACAAATCCCATGAAATCAAAATTCCCAGTGATTCATCACCTACCTCATCTAATGTCATCTACCCCCATTTAAATCATTTATGCCAGTGCTTTCCCAGCTGGCCATTGTGCTTCGGCGCTCAGCGATTTGTTGATGTTGGCGCCCTCCTTCAGCGTCTGCCCCGTGGCCCCGGTGCCCTTCTGCCGCTCCGACCCCGCCAAGTCCACCAAGTTCAGCTTGGCAAAGACGTTCCTGCCACTGGTGCTTGCTATATATACGTATATATATATATCAAAGTTAGATAGTAACCATAGTTTTTTTTTTTAAAAAAAAAAGTTAGTTATAAAAGTAACTATACCATATGTAGTATTTATTATATATATATATACACACAACTACATATATATATATGATATGTATACTCTATATTTATGTATTTTGTTAGCAACCATAGTTTAAATGAGAAACTTAAGGAAAACAACAGCTATTGACATGGAATTTCTCGAAATATGTCCGATTTTGAGCAGACGCTTATGCTATAGAAAGGGATTCTATGATGTAATAGACAGGAACTTGCTGGACATCTATCTGAATCTAGGTGTTGTTTTCCATGTCTGGAATTCTGATACGATACCAATGTTCAATTGGGATATTGCTTCTTCAGAGTTAGGTGTTTACTGTTCTTTAAGACGAACAACTTGGGGTCTTCATGTCGTGAATTTGAAAGCTTCTTAGATCAACTACTACCCAAGTTGTGGGCACGTAACCTTTTTCAGAATGGGGGGGCTTTGTCAACTCAAAATACATGCCCTCTTGGAATGAGACCTGGCAAGGCGGTTCATCACCATAGTCATCCATATTCATCCAGATTCATCCATATTCTTCAAGTAGTAGACTCAGTAGACCGTAATCATTCTGGATGCCCCAATGGATCATTATCATTCATGAAACCAATGGTTCCAGGTTTTGGCCACTGATAAACCCCACTTTGAAGATCTTCCCATGGTTTTCCCCATGGTTTTCCCCATGGTTTTCGCGCTTTGCCTGGAAGTGTCGTCTTCGTCCTTTTGATGAATTTTGATGGTGAAAATGGAGTGCGACCTCGCGGACAAAACGTTGCTGGCATAAGAAATTCACAGCATCAGGAAACCATGATTGATTGATAACTACCATTAGAAACTCCCAAATATAGAATGTGCTACATCAATCTACATCAAATATAGACTACTCCCAAATAATTACTGATTTTCCCACCAATCTTGGGAGACCTACTCCCAACAGCTTGGACTTCGGCACTTGCTCAGTAGTGGATCGGTCCACACTGAAACTCATCTTCCGCCTAAAAAAAACACATACTGCCCAATCTATCTTCCGCCTAACCACAAAAAGCATTCCAATCTTCTTCTTCACAACATGTTCATGACATTTTCATGACAACCACTTTTCTTCTACCCCCATTTTTCCACTCTCTCGGCGCTGCGGCCCCGGCCTGGAACTGGTGGAGTTCATGAGCGTCGAGGACACGGCCCGGCTCTTGTTGCCATTCTCCAGCAGGGTCTCCACCTTGGTCACATCCTCCGCCACGATCTCCTTATGGCCACGGGTGGTGATTTCCGCAGCACTTGGCACAACTTGGCACATCTTGGCACCATGGGAGGGGATGAAGATCCAGCCAGGGGATCATATCATCATAGCGAAATGAGAGGTGCCCAATGCTCAGCTCAGGGACTGTCAAGTCTTTCACATAGATACCCATGACTGGATGCTCTTTGATTTGCAGACCACCTCCCAGCTTGCTGCGGTCTGATACAGGGTTCAACAGGTCAAAAATGATCTCATTGTAGATCTCGAAGAACCTCAGACAAAAACACCGGGTGGTTAAAAACATGCCATGCGTGTCAAGACATGGTGGGTTTCTGGGAAAAAATGTGGTAACCGAAAACCATATGGAAAACCATGGAAAACCATGGAGTTCCCAGACTTACCAAGTGATCAGGATGTCAGCTGTTGGGCCAATGAAACCAGGCAACGAACACATCACCAGAAACCTGCAGGTGGAGCTCGATTGTTTCTCAGCGATGTATGAGAAAAGCTCCTGCACAACCCAAGATCTGGGAAAGCCACGTCTGGGATCTGCTTGGTTGCAAGTAGAACTTTGCAAGATTCACATCCTCTTTCCATGTCATAAAAATCATCCGGATTTTCGATGAAATGAACCATTCAGCTATTGAATAGTACCCCCCAATAGCTGAAGAAACACCCAAATGGATTGCACCATGGAGCGCCTCATTCACTCGTGGAATGATGCCACGCAAATCTCCAGGAGCGCCGGTCATTGTGAAACTTTTGCCTCAGCAGCTGCTCCAAATGATGAGTCTATTCTAGTTTATTTATGTTTATTTCCTCACTCAAAATGCAAATGTTGGGAAACTATTTTGCAAATCAAAGGTTTTTTGACACTCTGTTTCACTCTCTCAAGTCATTCCCGCAGCGTCGTCGCATGGTGCCGTCGTGCTGTGCATCGAAGGCGCCACTGCCAGTCTGGCCATAAGCGAAAATTGTACCATTGTAGCCCTCGAAGGTCTTGTGGAGGGCCTCAAGGCAGTTCAGCAGCTATCTCTGCCAGTTATGCAACTGCTGAATGTATAAAACAAATGTCTGTCTGTCTGTCTGTCTGTCTGTCTGTCAAGCCGTGCGCCGCGCGGCGCGTGGGCGGCTCCAACTCCATACATATGCACACAACATGCAGACTAAAAACTTAAAGGCATTGTGCTACAAGGCAGCCTGACTGGCCCCAATCGATTCATTGGTTCAAAACCAGTTGGCGCCATTGCTTTTCATTCTGGACAAAAAATAACAGGTTGCGAGTACTACCTGTAAAGGAAAGTGCTAAAGAAAAAACTTCAGGTATCCACTCTTTACGAGGCCGGCCTACCCTTCTCAGATATCGAGATGTAGCAGCAGTGTATGTGCCAGGTTCAAACGAGACTTGTCTCAGAGGGTGGTTCGGGTGGCAACGCAGAATCTTTCCAAAAAGCAACAGCTGTTTTCGTTCAAGAAGTTTGGACATTGGAACGTGCGCACTTCGTTGCCAGACTTCAGCGTTGGATGTTCTGGACAAGAAAGATGGCTGTATTCCCAAAATAGAACGCAAACATCTGTTCTGGAAACCATCTAAGCGACGTTTTTCTTGCTTCGTCAAAACCAATGCGCACAGGCTATAGAGGAGCCTTGATTCAACCACAGTTTTGTAAATCTGCACTTTTTGGCGGTAGTGCAGCGATGAATGTTTGCAAACCTTCTGCAGTGCCGCAAAATCACTTTTGGCAATCCCAATGCGTCTTGATAGTTCGTTGCCGTGCTTACCATCAGCAGTCATCATCGTGCCCAAGTACATCATACATTGCTGTGTCTGGGTCACGCGCGGATTCGGAAACTGGAACCGCGGATTCGGAAACTAACGGGCACGCGGATTCGGAAACTAAGATTCGGAAACTAAAACCGCGGATTCGGAAACTAGGATTCGGAAACTAGGATTCGGAAACTAACAGACACGGATTCGGAAACTAAGATTCGGAAACAAAAAAGAGAAGATTCGGAAACTAAGGAGGATGGGAATTCGGAAACTGTGATTCGGAAACTAAAAGCGCAGATTCGGAAACTAAAACTGCGGATTCGGAAACTAAAACCGCAGATTCGGAAACGAAAACCGCAGATTCGGAAACTGACGCAGGCGCGGATTCGGGAACTGTGATTCGGAAACTAAAACCGCGGATTCGGAAACTAGGATTCGGAAACTAGAAGCGCGGATTCGGAAACTAAAAGCGCGGATTCGGAAACGAAGACCGCGGATTCGGAAACTAACACTAACGCAGATTCGGAAACTAAGATTTGGAAACTAAAGCACGCGCATTCGGAAACTAGAAGCATGGATGCGGAAACTAAAACCACGGATTCGGAAACTAAAACCGCAGATTCGGAAAAGAAAACCGCAGATTCGGAAACTAAGATTCGGAAACTAAAAGCGCGGATTCGGAAACTAACAGACACGCGGACTCGGAAACTAACGGACACGTGGATTCGGAAACTCAAGCACGCTGATTCAGAAACGAATTGAACAAAATGCGTCAAGCAAACATATCGTATGAGACATTTCAAACAGTGACCTGGACAACTTCAGGACCTGCAGTCTCCACATCATATCTTGGCACGTATATGGTCCAATTTCAAGCCACTTGGGCTCAGGGAATCGGGATTGCTTGCACAAAACCACTGCAGTCTATTCTCCGACAGCATTGTGCGAATGTGTTTGTTTCGCGGATCTTGAGACATGATCGGCCAAATGTTGCTTAAAATATCCCTAAACAATCTCAAACTATGTAATGACTCGCTATCATATTTTAGTCCGATCCGGCTGTATGCCTGAACTGCCGTCTCTGCTGAGCATCAGTCTCTAGAAGAAGTAAGTCTCTTAACCTTATCAAATTTGTACCCTATTAACCAAGAAAATTATGTTCACTGGCCTCAAGTGCTGTTGCAAAGTCCAAGTCAATTTGAAGTTCCATGGGGGTGGGAATTTTGATCTCACCTTATCCTTGTGGACAGTCCAAGTCAATTTGAAGTTCCATGGATGTGGGAATTTTGATATAAACTTATCCTTGTGGACAGTCCAAGTCAATTTGAAGTTCCACGGGGGTGGGAATTTTGATGTAAACTTATCCTTGTGGAAAGTCCAAGTCAATGTGAAGTTCCATGGGGGTGGGATTTTTGATATCATCTTATCCTTGTGGACAGTCCAAGTCAATGTGAAGTTCCACGGGGGTGGAAATTTTGATATCATCTTTTCCTTATGAACATTCCAAGTCAATGTGAAGTTCCATGGGGGTGGGAATTTTGATATCATCGGATCCTTGTGGACAGTCCAAATCAATGTGAAGTTCCACGGGGGTGGGATTTTTGATATCATCTTATCCTTGTGGACAGTCCAAGTCAATTTGAAGTTCCACGGGGGTGGGAATTTTGATATCATCTTATCCTTGTGGACATTCCAAATCCATGTGAAGTTCCATGGGGGTGGGATTTTTGATATCATCTGTCATCTGTGGACAGTCCAAATCTATGTGAAGTTCCATGGGGGTGGGAATTTTGATATCATCTTATCCTTGTGGACAGTCCAAGTCAATTTGAAGTTCCACGGGGGTGGGAATTTTGATGTAAACTTATCCTTGTGGACAGTCCAAGTCAATGTGAAGTTCCACGGGGGTGGGATTTTTGATATCATCTTATCCTTGTGGGCAGTCCAAGTCAATGTGAAGTTTGATTGGGGGTGGGAATTTAGATATTATCTTTTCCTTGTGGACATTCCAAATTAATTTGAAGTTCCATGAGAGTGGGAATTTTGATATCATTTGATCCTTGTGTAAAGTCCTTATAGTTTCTGAAATCGCGTTCGTTTCTGAATGGCGATAGTTTCTGAAGCGTAGTGTGTGAACCGTAGTTTCTGAATGGCGTTAGTTTCTGAAACGCGTTCTTAATCCTATTTTCTGCATCGCAATAGTTTCTGAATCGCGATAGTTTCTGAATCGCGATAGTTTCTGAATCGCCTTAGTTTCTAAATCGCGATATTTCTGAATCGCGTTAGTTTCTGAATCGTAGTTTCTGAATCGCGTTAGTTTCTGAATCGCGGTAGTTTCTGAATCGCGATAGTTTCTGAATCGCAGTTTCTGAAGCGCGTTAGTTTCTGAATCGCGATATTTCTGAATTGCGTTAGTTTCTGAATCGCAATAGTTTCTGAAGCGTAGTTTCTGAATCGCGGTAGTTTCTGAATCGCGATAGTTTCTGAATCGCGATAGTTTCTGAATTGCCCTAGTTTCTGAATCGCGATATTTCTGAATCGCGTTAGTTTCTGAATCGTAGTTTCTGAATCGCGTTAGTTTCTGAATCGCGGTAGTTTCTGAATCGCGATAGTTTCTGAATCGCGATAGTTTCTGAATCGAATTAGTTTCTGAATCGCAGTTTCTGAAGCGCGTTAGTTTCTGAATCGCGATAGTTTCTGAATCGCGTTACTTTCCGATAGTTTCTGAATCGAATTAGTTTCTGAATCGCAGTTTCTGAATCACGCTGGTTTCTGAATCGTAGTTTCTGAATCGCGATAGTTTCTGAATCGCCTTAGTTTCTAATCGCAATAGTTTCTGAATCGCGGTAGTTTCTGAATCGCGATAGTTTCTGAATCGCGGTAGTTTCTGAATCGCGATAGTTTCTGAATCGTAGTTTCTGAATCGCGTTGGTTTCCGAATCGCGATAGTTTCTGAATCGGTGGAAATAGTTTCTGAATCGTAGTTTCTGAATCGCAGTTTCTGAATCGCCGTTAGTTTCTGAATCGGTTTTGAACCGCTGTGTCTGTATGCACGTGTTGTCTGGTAAACGAATATCAGGATTGCAACGCGCACCTAGGAGTTGGAATTTGCCATAGTGAAGTTCCATGCCATACTTGCGACCAGCTGCCGCTACAGCCTGCATGTATTCAGTCAAGTACAAAGTGGATACTCCCATCAACAGCGTATCATCTGCATAGACAACGTCAGCTAAATCCCCCCGTTCAAAAGCCTCCCTGGCATCCCCCTGCAACATGCTGAGCGCATCGTGCATCAGGACGGACATGAGGATAACAAAAATAAGAGGACTTAAAGTGCAACCTTGGGAAATTCCAGACATTTGGCTATGTAGGGCAGAAGTCTCACCACAGTCTGTGACGAAGAAATGTCTGCTTCGCATCATCGCACCGATCATGTGAACAAAACCTTGTGGCAAACCAAAACGACGTAAAGCATCGAGTAAGCTATCAACATGTACACTGTCAAAGGCTTTCTTCCAATCCAAAGCAAGCAGTTTGATCTGTCCAAAGCGGGCTGCACAAGCATTTTCGACGTGTCGTCTAGCAATATAAATAGCATCTTCCGTACCGTAACGCGGTCTGAAACCAAACTGAGTTTTCCAAAGCGCACCCAAAACCCCACCACCAACGAGTCTGTTTTTGAGCATTGCTGCAAACATTTTGTAGGCAATGCATAAAATGCTGATGGGCCTGTAGTTGTCACACTCAGCAGGATCCCCCTTTTTGAAAATCAAAGCCATGGAAGCAGTAGACCAAGTTTGCGGCACTGTTTTCTGTTCCAAACATCGGTTGCAGAAGTCCAACACCCAAAGCATTTCGGCAGACCCAGAAGCCAAAAGAGCTTTGAACACTTCACTTGGGATATCACCTTGTTTGGTAGCTTTGTTTGGGGCAAGCCTTGCAACAGCAAATTCGAGCTCCTGCATGGTGAACGGGTCTAAGCTCACTGGCAATTCCGCACGAAGCGGTGGCTCAAGATCCGGGATCAAAGTTGCAGGACGAACCCTCCACTGTATATTTTCCAAATGTTCTGCAAAAGTTTCAGCGCGGAGATCAGAATCCACAAGTTCCCCACGACAATTCTTTAAACGACCTTCTTGCTTACGAGGACCCTTTTTCAAATACTTGACTGCATTCCAGCCCTGCGACGCAACCAAATTCTCCAACCAGTCTGCTTTGTCTTTGCGCACAGCGACTTGGACAGTCTTCCTAAGGCGTTTCTCCTCTGGCCAGTTCCCATTTTCCCTAGCTGAACGCTTGGCGGAAATCAACCTGAGAGTACCTGACAATCATAAAAATAAGATGAAATAAGTAATAACAACCAGAATGATATAATTCATATAACAAGAAGCATATAATCAATCCAAGGGGCTGGTTTTCCTACTGATTCGTAGATCTGGACTTGTGCCACTGAAAGGCCAAACACGATGTCCTTGGCTGTAAAGATCTGGGCGGGGTACCATTCCAGTAGCATTCAGCCAGGATGTCACCCCGCCAGGATGAATGTCAACGCAGGTTTAATGGATTCCCGTTGATGAATATGGGTGGGTTCTATTGATGCTGAAAAACAGATCACTATGGAAACTATTTTTCGGCCCCCCCAGATTGAAATGAAATATCCCATGATAATCAAATATCCAAACGGAACCCTGTTTTTATTTTCTGGGGGTATGAAAAATTGGCTACAATATCATACATTCCCCATTTCAGTTGAACCAGTTGAACCCGTTGAACCCCGAAATAGGGCTTCACCAGCGCAGTTGTTCCGTGGCTCAAAGGCGAATTTCGCCGGCTCGTCGTGGCCATGAGGATCGCTGAGCACCACTTGTCCCTGTTCGCCTTCTTCCCCGAAGGCCTAGTGAAACAACAAGATGATGCATCCATGATAGCTAAGCTGGTTGCAAAAGCAAGGTTACTGACGGTTTATGGTAGATGATGGTAGATGATGGTAGATGATGGTAGATGATGGTAGATGATGTATGATGTATCTATAGTCAATTGATGTCGATAGGGGTTTAGAAAACCAACTTACAACTGGGTGTCACCACCTTGCAAGGACCAAATTGCGCCGCTGTGGGGGGTTTTCATCTGAGTGATACCCATGTCTACGCTAATTAACAAAACCCTCTGTCATTCCATTACACCGATTGGTCAAGAGGGATTCCAATAAATTATGACAATCCCCAAGAAAGTAGAACATGTAGAACTCCTTATCATCAACCAACAGGGAATTAGCCACTGCTCATTTGAGGCCTCGGTCATCTCGACGATGCTCTCTTCTCCATTGTTGATCCTGGGAGATCCAGAAAACTCAGCACTTCAACGGGGATTTAATGAGGATGAAATGATGGGAACATGTTTGGAAAATATTTGGCATACTGGACTGGAGGTGTGAATTAATAAAGCCAGCATTGAATGGGGATATTTAATGGGATCTATGACCAACAATAGGAGCTTTGGGGACATAGGAGCTTTGGGGACGGGCCGGGATGGGTCTGAAAAATGTGGCAGCAATGAACCCAGCTCTACATTCAGCTGGGGAATATGGTGATTCAGCAGTGGATTCGGGGCCCAACTGGTACCAAGAGACTCTTTCTGACTGGGTGGGCGGCATCTGATGGCAACTCTCACACAATCGCTGCTCTTCTCGCTCATCCTCAAGGCATCAAGCCATGCCGATACCCGGATGCCCGGATGCCCGGATCGGTGCTATACTTTGCTAGCACCGATGGACTGTGAAAGCCTGATGGCAACCTGCGAATCATCCACATCATGAGTGACATTGAGTGACTATGCTATGAGGCAAGATGTTTATATAATGTGGTAAACCATGGTAAAGCCCAACCATGAACTGTCCCCAATAGAGGTCTATTGGGTATACCCCTGGCAATGGAATGATTTCAAACCCCTATTCATGGTCGAATGATGGGATGCATTACCAACTGTTCATTAAGCAAACAAGGGAATGACCTTGGCTGGCAGACTGGGCAGCTAGGCATTGTCTCAAATGGCTGGCCTTTCCTGCAAGAATTAGTCGTGGATGAGACGCCATACTACCACTTGGGTCTTTGGGTTTCTCACACAGCATGATGCAGTGAACCTAACCTGCTCACTTGAGAGCTTGAGAAAGCTTTGTCAGCAAGAAATATGTTGCAGGCATCAAATTGCGACCACTCCTACCCCACAGGTCTTGGCAATTTAAAGTCACTTAAGATATCCGCCGACCCCGGCAGACGCAAGGGGGAGCGCGCCAGGGAATAAGACATTTGACTCTTGTCGGACTACTACTACTACTACTGCTACTACTACTGCTACTGCTACTGCTACTGCTACTGCTACTACTAATACTACTACTACTACTACTACTACAACTACTACAACTACTACTACTACTACTACTACACTACTACGACGACGACGAGTTTCGAAAAAGCTGTCTGGCTGTTGGTTTCTCGCCTTGGAGGCTGGTTGATGGCACGGCAGGAGCAGCAGCAGCGCAGGAACAGCAAGAGCAGCAGCAGCAGCAGCAGCATCAGCGGACGACAGCACCAGCAGCGGCAGCTGCAGCTGCAGCTGCCTCCGTCCTTCACTACTATGGTGTTTCCCTGTCCGGGACCCACGTTTTTGTAGCAGCCAGCAGGCAGCCAGTACTATACAGTACGCTAAGCTTTTCTGGGACATATAGTCTGGGATTCCCTGGGATTCTCTAGGATTTCAGAAGACACGTTAGGCACTTTTTTGTTGCGATTTTGCGCCATTTTTGGCACGAAATTAGGTGGTGTTTTGCTGTTTCGAATGAATTTCGAACAAGATGTCTGGCTGTTGGTTTCTCGCCTTGGAGGCTGGTTGATGGCATGGCAGGAGCAGCAGCAGCGCAGGAACAACAAGAGCAGCAGCAGCAGCCAGGAGCAGCAGCAGCGCAGGAACAGCAAGAGCAGCAGCAGCAGCAGCAGCCTCCGTCCTTCACTGCTATGGTGTTTCCCTGTCCGGGACTCACGTTTTTGCAGCAGCCAGCAGGCAGCCAGTACTATATATAGTCTAAGATTTTCTAGCATGTATAGTCTAGGATTCTCTAGGATTCTCTAGGATTTCAGAAGACACGTTAGGCACTTTTTTGCTGCGATTTTGCGCCATTTTTGGCACGAAATTAGGTGGTGTTTTGCTGTTTCGAGTGAGTTTCGAAAAAGATGTCTGGCTGTTGGTTTCTCGCCTTGGAGGCTGGTTGATGGCACGGCAGGAGCAGCAGCAGCGCAGGAACAGCAAGAGCAGCAGCAGCAGCAGCAGCGGACGACAGCACCAGCTGCAGCTGTCTCCGTCCTTCACTGCTATGGTGTTTCCCTGTCCGGGACCCACGTTTTTGCAGCAGCCAGCAGGCAGCCAGTACTATACAGTACTATATATAATCTAAGATTTTCTAGGATGTATAGTCTAGGATTCTCTAGGATTCTCTAGGATTTCAGAAGACACGTTAGGCACTTTTTTGCTGCGATTTTGCGCCATTTTTGGCACGAAATTAGGTGGTGTTTTGCTGTTTCGAGTGAGTTTCGAAAAAGATGTCTGGCTGTTGGTTTCTCGCCTTGGAGGCTGGTTGATGGCACGGCAGGAGCAGCAGCAGCCAGGCAGCAGCGCAGGAACAGCAAGAGCAGCAGCAGCAGCAGCATCAGCGGACGACAGCACCAGCAGCGGCAGCTGCAGCTGCAGCTGCCTCCGTCCTTCACTGCTATGGTGTTTCCCTGTCCGGGACCCACGTTTTTGCAGCAGCCAGCAGGCAGCCAGTACTATACAGTACTATATATCCGCCGACCCCGGCAGACGCGAGGGGGAGCGCGCCAGGGAATAATACTTTTGACTCTTGTTTCAGACTACTACCGCAGCCGGCGCAGCAGCAGCAACAGCAGGAGAAGTAAAGCCGGCCTCCGGGGAGCTTGTTATTGCGAATGATTTCGCTCACAAGTAGCAGTAGCAGAGCAGCCAGCTGTTGGCAGGTGCTTTTGGTAGCAGCAGGCAGCGGCAAAGTTTCAATTTTTGGGGGGTTCCTTTGCTATGTTTTGGGGACGAAATTAGGTGTTGTTTTGCTGTTTCGGATGTTTCGAAAAGGGTGTCTGGCTGTTTGTTTCTTGCTTTGGAGGCTGTTTGATTGCAGCAGCACCACAGCAGCACCACAGCAGCACCACAGCAGCAGCAGCAGCCACCAGCAGCTGCACCAGCAGCAGGCAGGAGCAGGGTGCAGCAGGCAGCAGCAGGCAGGCAGCCGCAGCCTTCAGTGGCATGGTGTTTCGGTGTGGCGAGGGGTACGTTTTGGAAGCCTGCAGCAGCAGTTGCTTTGTTTTTAGCCAGATCCAGAAGGGACGTCAACATTGGATGGATTGGATTGGATTCGATTTCTAGAAAGATTCTAGCAGGATAGCAGGAGAAGGGATAGCAGGATTAGAGAGGATTTCTAGTACGATTTCAGAAGGGACGTTCCGGCCCCCAGGGAACTTGTTCTTGCGATTGATTTGGAGGTCGTTCCGTCCTTCAGGGCCATGGTGTTTCGGTGTGGCGAGGGGTACGTTTTGGAAGCCTGCAGCAGCAGTCGCTTTGTTGTTAACCAGATCCAGAAGGGACGTCAACATTGGATGGATTGGATTGGATTCGATTTCTAGAAGGATTCTAGCAGGATAGCAGGAGAAGGGATAGCAGGATTAGAGAGGATTTCTAGTACGATTTCAGAAGGGACGTTCCGGCTTGCAGGGAACTTGTTCTTGCGATTGATTTGGAGGTCGTTCCGTCCTTCAGGGCCATGGTGTTTCGGTGTGGCGAGGGGTACATTTTGGAAGCCTGCAGCAGCAGTTGCTTTGTTTTTAACAAGATCCAGAAGGGACGTCAACATTGGATGGATTGGATTGGATTCGATTTCTAGCAGGATTCTAGCAGGATAGCAGGATAAGGGATAGCAGGATTAGAAAGGATTTCTAGTACGATTTCACAAGGGACGTTCCGGCCCCCAGGGAACTTGTTCTTGCGATTGATTTGGAGATCGTTCCGTCCTTCAGGGCCATGGTGTTTCGGTGTGGCGAGGGGTACGTTTTGGAAGCCTGCAGCAGCAGTTGCTTTGTTGTTAACAAGATCCAGAAGGGACGTCAACATTGGATGGATTGGATTGGATTCGATTTCTAGCAGGATTATAGCAGGATAGCAGGAGAAGGGATAGCAGGATTAAAGAGGATTTCTAGTACGATTTCAGAAGGGACGTTCTGGCCCCCAGGGAACTTGTTCTTGCGATTGATTTGGAGGTCGTTCCGTCCTTCAGGGCCATGGTGTTTCGGTGTGGCGAGGGGTACATTTTGGAAGCCTGCAGCAGCAGTTGCTTTGTTTTTAACCAGATCCAGAAGGGACGTCAACATTGGATGGATTGGATTGGATTCGATTTCTAGAAGGATTCTAGCAGGATAGCAGGAGAAGGGATAGCAGGATTAGAGAGGATTTCTAGTACGATTTCAGAAGGGACGTTCCGGCCCCCAGGGAACTTGTTCTTGCGATTGATTTGGAGGTCGTTCCGTCCTTCAGGGCCATGGTGTTTCGGTGTGGCGAGGGGTACATTTTGGAAGCCTGCAGCATAGCAGGATAAGAGATAGCAGGGTTAGAGAGGATTTCTAGTACGATTTCAGAAGGGACGTTCCGGCCTCCAGGGAACTTGTTCTTGTGATTGATTTTGCGTCATTTTTGGAACGAAATTAGGTGGTGTTTCGCCGTTTCGGCTGTGTTTCGAAAAAGGAGGATAGCAGGATAAGAGAGGATTCTAGCACGATAGCAGGATAAGAGAAGATTTCTAATACGATTTCAGAAAGGACGTTCCGGCATCCAGGGAACTTGTTCTTGCGATTGATTTGGAGGTCGTTCCGTCCTTCAGGGCCATGGTGTTTGGCTGTTTCGCAACCGCCCGCTAGGACTTCGTTGTGGAGCTGTTTTGAGGGCATGAGAGCTGGCAGCAGCAGTCAACATTGGATGGATTGGATTGGATTCGATTTGTAGCAGGATTCTAGCAGGATAGCAGGAGAAGGGATAGCAGGATTAGAGAGGATTTCCAGTAGGATTTCAGAAGGGACGTTCCGGCCTCCAGGGAACTTGTTCTTGCGATTGATTTGGAGGTCGTTCCGTCCTTCAGGGCCATGGTGTTTGGCTGTTTCGCAACCGCCCGCTAGGACTTCGTTGTGGAGCTGTTTTGAGGGCATGGGAGCTGGCAGCAGCAGTCAACATTGGATGGATTGGATTGGATTCGAT